GGGAATAGACTGGGAGCAACTGCAGGGTGATGCCTCCCCATCTCACCCTCCTGGGGAGCAGAGCAGACTTCGTCAGAGGCAAGGTACCATCACCTCCTCTGGCTCAGTGCTTCTGGGGTCAGATGGCCCTGATGGTTACCACAGTAAAACAAAACCATGGGGAGTTACCATCTTTTACTAGGAAATTCTTACAATTTTTTGGTTTAAGTTGACAATTTCCTGTTTCCTCTTTGGACCTTATCTCTTTCTCCCATGAAGACAGCAGGGTTCAGATTTTTTTGTTGTTGCTTTCATTCCTGTTCCTCGTCTGCCTTCAGGTGAAGATTTATGGGCAGTGATGTATCACTGCACTGTTAACACAGGAAAACTGCATTATCAAAATATACAAAATGCCCCAAGTTTATGCATCTGTAACCTTAGCTTCTGCTCCATCTGAGCTGTGCCTGATGTGGGATCTTAGGTACCCACCACAGAGGCAGAGTAGGTCTGCAGTGGCTTTGGTATAAGTCTAGCTGGCCACAGAGGCAAATCCTGCAAGCTGGGCTCTGATGCCCATAGCCGTTCTTCGAGCACTCCAGATTTTCCAGCAATCTGTGTGAATTAAAAGAAAAAGGACAGGTGGTAGAAGTTGATATGGGTCCTACACACCAATTAAGTCCTCCTATGGAGGAGGGTGACAGACACACATTTTATTTTTTTTTCTCCTGCTCCTTTGCCTAAGTGAAGCCACACAAAGGAGCTGCAGCTGGATGACAAATAACCCTGTGGTTGTTTTGCTATTCTTCATGTGTTATGAAAGTATTTTGTGATAACTTGTTTTCACAGTATTCACATACCTTTATTATTGTCTCTTCATAATCATGCACCTAGAACTGGGAGGAAATACTTTCAGAAAGCTGCTTTGTCTGCTGTGTGATTTTTTTGAGCATTTGGACAGCTTGTTTTGACGGGGTGAGAGCAAATTGAAGCCTGAACTGAAGAGGGTTGTTTTCAAAGAGTGCAGGGAGCTAGGTAATTTGCTCGTGCTCTATCCAAGTTATTGTCTAAGGAAAATATGGAAAACCGTATGAAAACAGGCACTGACTCTAGAAGGTGATGTTAGATGTTTGCTCTGTGGAAGGCACATTGGTGGTGGTAACTCTGTCTCCTTTGTCCAGTCTTCCTGTTGAGCATGCTGCATTGGCACCACCATAACAAAGATTAAACTCTTGCCAAAGTAGTGCCACTCAGGAAGTTGTTTTAATTATACAAGCCTATCTTGTTCCAAGATTTCCATTCTGCCCACAGCTAATTAAAACTAAACAAACAAAAAAAAAATTGCTAATTAAGGACTCTGAAAGGGAAATGTTGTTTTTGTTCTGGGATAACCAGATAGAGCACCGCAACCCTCATATAGAAAGCTGCAAAATCTGGCAGCTTCAAGCTTACCTTTAATCCTGAGCTTCATCTACTAATAACACTGAGTTTGCAGGTTTCCCAAGAGAGCATGGAGAGTCTGGATACTAAATGTCTGGAGAGCCTCTCAACACAAATCTGATTCTTGCACAAAAACATTTAAACTGATTGTCAGCGCAAATGCCCACGTACCCAAATGGTGCTTTCAGTTTCTGTGAATGAGGACCCAGGAGATTCGTGGTTTGGATTATACTGTAATATGCCTTTGAGACAGCATGTAAATGATGAAGAACAGAACCTGTTCTGTACCAATGGATTTTCTGTCTCAGGGCACATTGTTTCAAACACATCCTTGGACTTTAAATCTGCAGTAATTGTGAAGCATAGGAAGCTCAAGTGTTTATCAGGAGTACAAACTAAGTTTTTGGCTGATTGGCCAAGCAGAAACATTACTTCTGAAGGTGTTTGCTTGTTAATATTAAGGTTCTATTACAATTCTTAAGTGAAAAGCAATGGCCTTATTGATTCCATCTAAAAATTACTATTATTATTATTAGATTGGTGACTGTACATGAAAAGGAGTGGGTCAGGAGCTCTTTAGATGGAGTTAGCAAAGAAAGGGCATTTTAAACCTTTGTAAAGCAAGCTGCAAACTGAAGATAATTTCCACAACTTATTTCTTCCTCCTAATACTTGTAATCTTTAGAACCACAACCATTTTAGCTAAAACTATGCAGTAGATTAGATCAAAGCATACAAGTATGGAGAAAATATTTATAACAAGTATTTAAACTTTTTAATAGAAAAGTGAGTTTATCACAAGCTCTAAGGGACAAACATTCACACACACCACAACCCATGCCTGATTGAGGCAAATACAAATACGAGCTCCAGAGATAAAAGGTATGGAAAAAAAATTCCCTAGAACATTTTCCTTTTTTTTTTTTTTTTTTTTTGTAATGCACTCTTACAATAATAATCTCCCTATAATAAGAAGTGTGTGGAATGGAAATAACTGTTTGTCTGCAGGGCAATGTGGCTGCACTTTTGCTGAACATGTGATATCAGCCAAGAACAAATTGCTTCCCATTGT